CCCCGAGGATCGAAGAGGGAAATTGTTGGACGTTTCTGTGTACTTGTTTTTTTTGGGGGTGGAGGGGTCCGGTTGTTGGCTTTGTTTGGCCTTAAGAAGCCTCCCAGAACCTCTGGAGACCTCCATGGGGTCAGGATCGGAGGTTGAACTGGGGCTTACGTACCTGGAGGAACAACAAACAACAGCCGTAGAAACATAATTTTTCGGACGCTGGACCGCCCTCCCCTGGCGAGCGGAGCGCGCCAAGGGAGGCTCCGCTGGGGAAAATTCATCGCCGACCCAAGTTATCCGCGTGGACGTCCGAAACTGTATGTTGATATCTCTATATTTGTTTATTTGTGTGTATATAGAGAGAGAGCTGTTTGCTCTTTACCTTGTGCTCCTCTCTCTTCCTCCTCGTCCTCCCGTCGGTGCGCAGCCAGGGAAAACTTGCGACCAGGGGGATGGCATGCAAGGATTGGGGCGGCGGGCGCTCCCGCCGCGTTCTGTGGGGCCCCCCCGCCCCCGCCCCCCTCCCGCATAGAGACCTGGCTCGTGCGCCCCTGCACAAAGAATGGGGTCGGAAGCTTGTTCGTTCCGTCGTCTGTGGAGCTGAAGCGGCAACGACGCCGTGCTCTCGCGATGTCGGCGTGCGAGTCTCCATGCGGAGCTGTCCGAAGCGAGGCGTAGCCAGGTCTCAGGGACTCACAGCAGGCAGACGAGATGCGGACACAGGGAGGCAGTAAGCGAGGTGCCCTGGGCACGAGGGAACCACGAGCGCCTCGCCTGCCGTGCCAACTCTGCGCACAGAGGAGAAAGCTGCACGCCTCACCCTTCTACTCCCCTCTCCCTCTCTCCATCTGCCCCTCCCTCCCTCTTTCTGCCTCCAGAAAAGTCTCGTGGCAGGCTTCTGCGGACCCCTGGAAGCACAAGATGGCACCCAAACGCCATACATTCTCGATCCTCGACCGAACCTCGAACCTCCACCTTCTCCTCTGCGCATTCCACATTACCTGCCGGAAGGATGCAGGGCGCAAAGCAGTTCCTTTTCAGAACGGAGCTCTCGCATGCATGAAATGACAGGCCCGTAGGGTGCTGGTCTTTCAGCGGGCGCTTCTTGAAGTGGAGACGAAGGCATGGGTGGTGTTGACGAGGAGGGGGGGACGCGAGACGGGAGGGTGTATTGCAGCACCGTTGATGCAGCTTGGGTTCACCAGGTCCTCCTCCTCCTCCTCCTCCTCCTCCATCTCCTCCTCCTCCTCCTCCTCCTCCTCCTCCTCCTCCTCCTCCTCCCCCTCCTTCTCCTCCTCCCCCTCCTCCTCCCCTTTCTCCTCCTCCTCCTCCTCCTCATCCTCCGTCACTCCTCACTCCTCCTCCTCCTCCGTTCCCTCCTCCTCCTCCATCCCTCCTCCTCCTCCTCCTCCTCCTCCTCCTCCTCCTCCTCCTCCTCCTCCTCCTCCTCCTCCTCCTCCTCCTCCTCCTCCTCCTCCTCCTCCTCATCATGGAGCACACTTTCTCGGAGGCCCGCGCGGATCTCTTGCCTCTGTCGGGCGGGGCGCCTGCTCCGGAGCATCTGTGCGGCAGCCGCAGCGGATGGGCGGAGAGGCTTGCGGGGCAGCGGGATCTATGACCCAGACGTCTCGCCATCGCTCGGACGCCCAACCCCCCGTGCACTCTTCGGTCTCGGGCGTAGTTCTTTTTGCCCGAGGATCCAGGATGCTCCTCGATGGCCCATGCCGAGAAGAAATGCACACGTCCGAGCGATGCCAATGTTTCACAATAGCAATCGTCGTACTACCTTAGAGCGCGCTGAACAAGGAGCGGATGAGACTTTTTTGGCCACGGCTAGCTGGCCTCGATCACAAACAGGTTCCCCGACCTAGATCGAAAGTACGGCCCGACAACGGGAGTCTCTCCTGGACCCAAAGTGGTTCTTATTTCAATGCCCCAGCTGGCCTGGGGTGGTGGGTGTCTGAAATTGTCCTTCCTGGGAAGGTTGTGGCCATTTTTTTGGTATGACATGTGGGATACCCCCGTCCCAGGAGGGGCCCGGCCCAGAGCAGGGGACACGTACATAGGGATCTCGTCGCCCGAGCTGTCACGTCAGGGACGGGCAGTCCAGGACGGCAGGCACTACGCGTCTCCACTGCTCCTCCTACTCCTCCTCCTCCTCCTCCTCCCTCCTCCCTCCTCCCTCCTCCCTCCTCCCTCCTCCCTCCTCCCTCCTCCTCCTCCTCCTCCTCCTCCTCCTCCTCCTCCTCCTCCTCCTCCCTCCCCCTCATCCTCCTCCTCCTCCTCCTCCTCCTCACCTCCTCGCCTCCTCCTCCTCACCTCCTCCTCCTCCTCCTCCTCCTCCTCCTCCTCCTCCTCCCTCCTCCTTCTCTTCCATTTCCTGTCCTTAAGAATACCCAATTCCCGTCGCACCTCGAGGCCAGTCCGAAGGGTGGGCTGGACAGTTCGCCTGAGAGTTCCTTCCACTGATGAGCCTGAGGCTTTAAAGCTGGCAACATTTTCAAGCATGGAGGGTGGTTGGTTTTCAGAATGTGGCTCTCGCCTTCGCGCCGCGCACATTCGCTTCAAACATTGCAGCAATTTCACAAATGTAGAGCGGGTGGTTTTCAAAATGTGGTTCCCGCTTTAGCGCCGCGCGCATTCACTTCAAACATTTGCACATGTTTCACGTATTGAGGTCGGTTCGATTTCTAGATGTGGCTCTCGCCCCAGCGCCGCGCACATTCGTTTGAACAACGTGCAAGAGTTTCACGGATTGAGGGCGGTTCCTTTTCAAAATGTGTCTCTCGCCTTTAGCTCCACGCGCTTTCGCTTCATTAGTTGAAAACTGTTTCCATGATTCCTATGGTTAACATGCAAGCAATTGTGCTCAGGAGCGTCAGGATTGTTAGAGTGCAACAATTACGTTGGTTCGTGGTGTTGATGCCCAGGAGCGGTGTTCTGGGACGATCCATATCGTCAGGACGCAACGTTCAGGTTGATTCGTGGCGTTGAAGTCATGAGAACTGTGTTTTGGCACGCTTCAGGATCTTCAGACGGTTGTCTCCCATCGGAACACTTTTTCTCTCAATGAAAACGAATCCTTGCAAGGGCTTGTGAAGAGGGAGCTTGGAGGGAGGGTATTAGCCGGCATCGTTCATGAGTCTTGAGTTTGCACTGGTTCTCCTCGTCATCCTCGTCCTCGTCCTCGTCCTCGTCCTCGTCCTCCTCCTCCTCCTCCTCCTCCCTCTTCATCCTCCTCCTCTTCCTCCTTCTCCTTTTCCTCCTCCTCCTCCTCCTTTTTCTCCTCCTCCTCCTCGGGGCCCTGGTCGCCTTTGTGTTTCGGCCTCGACCAGCCGCTCCGCAGCGGCCCCCGCTGCGTGAGCGCCCTCCCTCCTCCCCCTCCGCTCCGTGGCCGCTTCCTCCTTTCCCTTTTTCCCGCTCTTGCTGCCGGACAGTTAGCGATGCCGCTTCCCGGCCTGCCCGAGCGCGCGTGCGGACTGCCTCTGCCGCGCTGCGACGCAGGCAAGGCTTCGGCCTCGGCTCCCGGGCGTGGTGTCCGGGTGTTCGCCTCTCTTGCTCCCCCCCCTGAGCGGGCAGATGCGCGCGGAAGCAAACGCTCGATGTCGGCGGCGTCCTGGGACGCGAGAGTAAAGGGGCCCAGGGAGACACAAACAAATCGACACAACTTCCAGGATCCTCACTACCTTTTACATATTCTATGGGTTCTCCTCTTCTCCTGCATTTCAAATGTCTTCGTTGGAATCAGCGTCTGCTTGTGTCTGTGTCTGTTCTGAGAGAGACGAGGAGCATGAGGGCCTCTGGGCATCTCTGGGGCCCCACGTTTTGGCCAGAGTCGGCGCGCCTCCCCCCAAGACGTCGACCCCGGGTCTCGCCCACAAGGGGGGCGTGGCCCGCTCGGCCCGCGAATGCTTGCGGGAGGGGCGGGAGGGTGACTCCGCCGGCGTGAGCTCGGCGGGTGCAAACACGGATCCCGCAAGGGAGGTCAACGCCAGCGTGCCCAGAGCCTCGGGAATCTGCCACATTCGCGCGGGGTTCAGCTCTCGAATGTCGGCGGTGCTGGAGAGGCGAGAGCGGGGAGCCTCGGTCGCCTGACTCCGCGCTTCGCGCCGCCTCTCCAGCTCAGGCCCTCAAGCGTGCTCATGGTCGGGAGCTTTGGTCAGTGTGTCGCGGCGGCGGCCCTGGCGACACGCCATGCCCTGCGAGCGGATGGCGTGGCGCTCCGCTCCGCTCCGCGGGAGGCTGGGCAAAGCGCTGCACGTGGACGCTCGGGGAACGCGACCTGGATAGCGAGTCGCGCCAACACGCGGTGGGCTAGAAGCGGCGGAGCCGCACGCTAACCAAGAGTTCAATGTTCGTGCCGTTTTTTTATAAGAATTAAGAAGCATCTTACTGGTAACATCTAATGGGGTTTGTTAGTTGTGTTATGACCCTTTAGCTTACATCTAACATTGTCAACAACGTTCTTGATCTAAAACTTTTTTTTACTTGGAACATCTAATTGGACTTGTTAGTTATAGTAGGACCCTTTAGCTTAAATGTAACATTGCTAATAACATTGTTTATCTCCCTTCGCGCCCTCTGTGTTGACCTGGGGAGTGCGAGGGTCTCTGCGTTGGGCCCTCCGGGGCCTCGGCTCTGGCCCGAGTCGGCGCGCTCCTCCAAAACTGAAGGGGCCCTGGGACACACAAATAGATAGACACAAATAACAGGATTCCCCGTATTTTCGAATATTTTTTTCAGGGTTTTTGTCTTCCCCCCACTTCCCATATTTTCCCATATTTTCGGGGAAATCGACGATCACTTGTGTGTGTGTGTGTTTTCCCTCCTGAAAAACGCCAGCTCGGCATCCTGGGGATGATGGATGGAACTCGGCCGAGATTCTCCGCTGGCGCCCATGTGGAGCCCTGCTCTTTGGGGGACCCGCTGCCAAGCCAGACCAGGCGGGCTGCCAGGTGTGGAGAGAGCGCGCTGGAGGGCGGGTGCCTGGAACAACCTGGAATGCCTGACATCCGCCGGCATGCCTTTGTCAATCCGCGGCCCCAGAGGTCACGACTGCTTTCCCAGAGGGTAATGATTAGTTTTTCGTGGTCCCAGGTCCCAAGAACGACCCCTGAGGGCCAGAATCGAAGAAAAACTGCCGCTTGTAAAATCATATCGTCGGAGATCTGGGATCGCCTGGCAGCAAGGGCGATGGTCTGCGTGAAGGAGGATGACATGGGTACATGAGGAGCAAGAAGCAAGAGGTCACCCCGTCGGCCTCGCTGCTGTGGCGAGGTTAAGACTACTCACGACGTCGCGAGCGAATGCGACCAGAGCTGCCAGCCCTGTCGTTCCATGGTTGCATTTCTCGAGCCAGGCCTGTCGACGAAGCACCTGGGCCCTGGAACGGTGCAAGACACGCCCGCCGTGAGTTCGTGAGGACGCCTGTTACTCAGGGACCGTCGCGAACGCCGCTGGCAGGCCGCGGCAGTGGTCGGTCAGCAGAACGTGGTGACGGCCGTCGCACACGCCATAAGTGCGCAGCCCGTCATGCAGCCGCTCAAGGCAGAGCCGACAGGGTCGCGCTGCCGAGCGGCGCCGTGATGTGCCATCCGGGCCGCGCTGAAAGACTGCGCGGGCGGGCGGAACGGCCGGTCGAAGCCAGCTGGGCGTGGCGCCGCTGTGGCCTGCATCTCGTCTTCATCGTCGTCGTGCTTCTGCTCTTCCTCCTCCTCCTTCTCTTTCTCCTTCTTCTTGTTGCGTTGGTGGTGGGTAGGGGTCGCAGCGCCAATGTGCAACGCGGAAAAGGGCAGCCGTGCCGCGGCAAGCCATGCTAAACCGCAACCGTACGCCCAGCCAAGGCTGTATTGCGCCCCACAACCAAAATATTGGGTTCATGTTATCGGTGACGCCCTCACCCTTCTTTCCTCCCTTCACCGCCGCCCTCCCTCCCTCATTCATGCTCTGACTCACTCATGCTCAGACTCACTCACGCTCATGCTCACTCGCACTCATACCCGGACCAGTGTGTACTCTGATTCAATCACACTCAGACTCGCTCACACTCATACCCACTGTTACTCAGACTCGCTCCCACTCAACCCACTAATAAAGCTTCTCGTGCTCAAACTTCATCAGACTCAGACTCACTTTTACCGACACCCTTCGTGCGGGGATCTTGTTATTCTTGTGACGCCGCCGCCTCATCCCTCCTCCCCTTCCCTCGCACTTACTCAGACTCATACTCGTACCATTCATACTCAGATCTACGCATACTCAGACTGACCCACTCTCAAGCCCACTCTCACTCAGACTGACTTGTGCGCAGACCCATCTGTGCTCATATCAATCAGATCCACCCACATTCCTCCACCCGTCACTCACACGCAGACTCACTCGCACTGAGACGCACTCACGATCGGACTCACTCAGACCCAGATTCACTCATACTCAAACTCGCCCATGCTCAGACTCTCTTTCACTCGGACTCGCCCACACCCAGTCATTCGTACTCAGACCTACTCAGACCCAAACTCACCTCTTGTTCATTACAACTCATGAGCAGGTCTGGGTGAGTCACCCAGACCTGCTCATACTCAGACATATTTACTCAACCGCGATGACACTCAGACGTTCTCATTCCGCGATGTAGCAAGCTTGTCGCCTGGGCCTCCGGAGGAGACGCCAGTGGTACAACACGGGCAGGTTCGCGCCCAGATTGTTGGGGCCCTCCAAATAGAATTGCCTGTTCGGCCCCTCGGACTCTTTCTTTCAGAGCCCCTATCGCTACGTGACAAGCATCGCACATGTGCCCCACAAGGAGGAACTGCAATTTTGTATATCACGGGCACCTCCTCCTCCTCCTCGTCGTCGTTGTCCTCCTCCTCCTCCTCCTCCTCCTCCTCCTCCTCCTCCCTCATTCCTCCATCCTCCTGCCTCCTGCCTCCTGGCGCCTGCCTCCTCCCTCCTCCCTCATCCTTCCTCCCTCCTCCTTCTCCTCCTCCGTAATACCTTGTCCTTATTGACAACTCCTTTCTGTCGCACGACCAGTCGTGTCAGCAGGGCGGGCAGGGCGCTTCGCCTGAGACTTCCCCACCACCTATGATCCACAAACTTGAAAGTCGTAGCAACTACAATGATGGGATATATGACGTATTCAGCATGGGGCTTTCGCCGTCGCGCCGCGCGAATTCGTCTTACTCGACTGCAGCAACTACAAGGATTGATGGGGGGTCCTTTGATGGAGCTCTCTCTTTTTCGCAGGCGTGCTCAGGGCTGGAACACAAGCCACTTTCAACGTGGGGCTCTCTGGCCATCGCTCGGACGTCCATTCCCTGTGTTTTTTTCGGTTTCGCGCGTGGCTTTTTCGCCAAAGGATCAAGGATGCTCCTCGCTGGTCCTCGCCGAAGGGAAGATGCACACGTCCGAGCGATGGCAAGCTCTCGCTTTCGCGCCGCGCGCACCCGCGCGCCGGGCGAGGGCGGAGGGCCGCTCCTCTTCACGTCGGGGCCCTCGCCTTGGCGCCGCGTGCGCTCGCCTCAAGCCAGCGTGCAGCGTGCGCGGGCGCGGATGGCGGCTCCTCTGCAGCACGGGGGGGGGCCTCGCTCGGGACACGCCGGCAGGCGCGGCCGCTGCACGGGGGGAGGGCGGCTCCTTCGCGCGAGGGGAACTCTCGCCCGGAGACCTCCACGAGGCCCATGGCCATCCGTGCACGTCAACCCGTGCAGCAGTTGCGAGGACTGCGGGGTGGTCTTTTTTCGAACATGTCTCGCCGCACACCTCGTTGAACTGCACGTGCACATCAACCCGTGAAGCAGTTGCGAGGATTGCGGGGTGGTCCTTTTTCCGACATGTCTCGCCGCATACCTCGTTGCACTGCACGGTCATTTTTCTTCGCTCTCCCGATGACGCGCTAGAAAGGTGCGAGGCAGTTCCTTCCATGCGGGGCCCTCGCCTGGGTGGCAGGCCAATGGGGTCTTTAAGTGGAAACGGAGTCCTGTAGGAGCCCACGAGGAAGGGACATGGGACTGGACGGTCTATTGCAACATCGTTTACGCAAATTTGGCTTACCCTGGTCCTCCTCCTCCTCTTCCTTCTCCTCCTCCTCTCCCTCCTCCCTCCTCCCTCCTTTCTTTTCCTCCCTCCTCCTCCCTCCTCCTCCCTCCTCCTCCTCCTCCCCTCCTCCTCCCCTCCTCCTCCCTCCTCCTCCTCCGTCTCCCGATCGCCTGGTTGACGGCAAACCGCAGGCCAGACGCGGGGGAGGCCACCCGCTGGGGCGCGGAGGCATGCGAGCTCCGCACCAGCAGCCGGTCGGCGGCGAGCTGCCTGTCCCAGCTGCACTCCTCCAGCGCCGCCCGGGCGTCGGCGACGCTGACGCCCACGAACTCTGCGAGACCCGCTGCCGAATCTTCTTCCTCTGAGCCCCGACGCTGCGAGCAGGATATCGAAGAATCAAACGTGTCATAAACACAGACTTTCGGCGCTCCGCGCGGATCTCTTGGGAGCTCTACGTATAGACCCCATCATTCCGCGGCATCCTTCGAGCGAGATCGATGCGTGATGCTCCCGCGGCCCGAGAGCTCAGTGGATGTTGAAAACGCTGGGGGCGTTTTCGTTGCTTTCGGCTCTCCCGTTTTCGGCCAATGAGAGCGGACAGACAACGGCAATCCAAGACAGAAGCAACAAACCTGCAATACACCACAAAACCGACCCGAAAACGGCGCGAACCAGCGTGGACCTCCTAACGGGGAAAGGAGGTCGATTTATCTTGAAGACGGGCCCATTTATATATACCTATATATGCATGTATGTATGTATGTATGCATGAATGCATGCATGCATGCATGCATGCATGTATGTACGTATGTATGTATGTATGTATGTACGTATGTATGTATGTATGTAGGTATGTATATATGTATAAATGTATGCATATATGCATGCATGCATGTATGTATGTACGTATGCATTTATGTATGTATGTATGTATGCATGAATGTATGCATGTATTCATGTATGTATGTATGTATGTATGTATGCATGCATGCATGCATGTATGTGTGTGTATGTATGTATGTATGTATGTATGTATGTATGTATGCATGCATGCATGCATGCATGCATGTATGTATGTATGTATGTATGTATGTATGTATGTATGTATGTATGTATGTATGTATGTATATATGTATGTATGTATGTATATGTATATATGTATGTATGTATGTTTGTATGCATGCATGTATGTATGCATGTATGTATGTATGTATGTATGTATGTATGTGTGTATTTATGTATGTATGCATGCATGCATGCATGCATGTATGTATGTATGTATGTATGTATGTATGTATGTATGTATGTATGTATGTATGTATGTGTGTATATATATATATATATATATCACATCACCTAAGCCTGAGGCTGGGCGAACACTCTCAGCGCGAAACGGTTGCAACGCCCGGATCTCAGCGGTCCTCTCTCTCGCGAGCCTCGCGCAGCTGGCGCCCGCTCTCGCGCAGCTGACTCGCCAGGGCGTCCTCAAGGGGCATCGTCGGGGGGGGGGCGAGCTTGAATCGGCGATACGTCGCCCAGAGGTCGGCGACACGCCCCCGATGGCACATCCGGAAGTTCATGGGCGGGTGGGGCTGTCGGGCTCCTGACCAGCGACCAATGGGCCATTGGGGGTCCATGCATCCCCCCTCCCGCGCCCATTCCCCTTTCACGCTGCCCCTGATCACCAGGGCGCCCAGCTCCGCGCGGTCCTCCTCGCTCTGTGCGCCGGCGCTGGATCGACTGGTCGTGCGGGCGGGCCCTGGCGCCGCGGCGCTTGGCCCAGTGTCCACTGCCCTGCTCTCTTCGCCCTGTCGGGTTGGGGGGATCGCCCCTCCCCCGCCCCTCCTCCTCCTCCTCCTCCTGTTGGCTCCTGTTGGCTCCATAGCAGTCTGTTACCGCCGGCCAAGCCTGCAATAAAGCTGCGAAAAACAGTGCTGGAAAGAAGAAATAAAAGGGGTGGGGGTCGGGGAAGGGTCACGCCGCCTTGGACGCCCAGCACGACCCATCCCAGACCAGGGGGACCGACCTCCCAACGAACTTCTTAGAGCTGGGGTCGATCCCCCTCTTGAGCATCTTAAGAGAATCCTCTGCGTGCCGATTGCGCGGACCCCCGTGGCATTCCTGGAGGAGGTACGGGCGGGCCCGAGCGCTTCCGAACGCAGCGCAACGCACACACCAGGCAACCCTCCCCCCCATCAGCCACAGACGATGGCTCTTGTGGCAGGTCCGCGCAATTTTCGGCGGCCCTCCGCAGGGAAACACACAGACCGCGGCGCGAGTCTTCCCTCGCTCGCCGCAGTGGAGACACAAATATGAACCCTTCACTATACATTCGACCGCATGGCCTCTCGGGTCCGGGACCAGCTCCAGGAGAGACGGCTTGGCCCGACGGGGCCTGCGGATTTTGGAGACGTCAGGAAATCCACGGCCCGATAAATCATCCATAATTTCCGCAATCAGCCAAGCCGACTGCCGAATCAGCGGCGCCAAACCTTTAAACTGTTCACGCGTCCAAGGGTTGTGGGGTTGGGCCTCGGCCCCACGACGGGCCAGCTCGTCAGCCTTCTTATTGCCCCACCATTTCCAATCCTCTACAGCAAACCTACGGGCCTGGGCCAGGGAGAGGTGAGACCTGATCTTAGTCACAGAAATCCTATCGGGGCCTATCTCAGCGGCGAGCCTGAAAATGTCCTCCCAGAGCTCCGAGAAAGCGACCTTTTCCAGATCCTGAGTCGGCCCTTTCTTCCAGGTGTCCAGGACGGCCTTGCAGTCTGTAACAATCTCCATGGCCTCAGGCCCCGCGAGCCTCAAAGCCATGACCAGCGCATACACTTCCCCGCAGCCACTGGTCTGGACTGCGTGGGGCAGCGGTCCGAAAGCGGACCCAGTAACATATCCTCCCCAAGAATCCAACGACATGGAAACGGCCGCCCATCCAGCTCTCGTGAACTGGGGTAACATGGGGTCCAGTCCAGACCCATCCAGACAAATTCTCGGCCCCAGGTGTCCCCCAGGCGGAAACACGTCCCACTTGTGACCAGCTACGGTGTGCGGCGCTGGCCACTGCCACTCTGGACTCGGGGCGAGCGCACGTGTGGCCAGCAACTGGTTGGCAGGCGTGCGCTCCAGGGCGAGAAGTTCGCCCACATCTAGGTCACGCCGAACAGCGGCATGAGCGGGGCAGCAGCGGAAGCGATGACTGGGTGTGCCCAGCCCTTCTCCACAAAGCTGGCAGAGGGGGTCCACGACACGACGATCGTCATACAGAACCAGTTGGGTAGGGTAACCTCCAGAGACGATCCCAGCGAGTCCCGTGGCTGCTGTGAACCTTTCTTCTCTCCGAAGCTTCTGAAGGACCTCGATGACGGGCTCGAGCATAGGCCCTCCTGACAGGCCTGGGACCCTGACACCATCTCCCAAACCTCTCAGTAACATATCCCGAACGGCCTGGTGAAGAACAGCCTTGAGCGACCTGTGTCCCAAGAAGCTCACATCAACTTCAACACCCCGAACCGTCACAAACTTACACCAGCTTTTAACCTGCCAACCCAGCCTTTCGATCGTGAGGACCACTGCGCCCGCGGGTCCGCGGACATCTTGCCACCCACGAGCAGGTCGGCGGTAAAACGAGTTGAAACACTCCTCCATGACACGCTGCTCTGCCCAGCTCAAGCGAGCGGCTTGTCCCCAGGCAAGGATGGGCAGCGCATGCACGTCGTATGATGGATCCGCCTTGGGCTCCACCGAGAGGAGAAACTCCAACGTCCTGCACCTCCCTTTTGGAGTCCCAAAGAGCGCACTTCCCAAACTGGCCCGAAGCTGGCCAAGAGCGGAGGTGGACATGCCATTGACACGGCAACCGTAAGTGGCCGAGGGAAGGCCTCCCGTCCGAGCAACCTTGAACAACCCCTTCTTGGCACTGCTGAGCCCTCGGAGTCTGCGCCTCCGAAGCCTGATTTTATGCAACCGTTTTTGGAGGACCTTGGATCCCTTGGCTCCTTTCTGCATCGTCTGGTCGCAGCCCAGGTTCCGCCCAGAGCTGGCGCCAGTAAAATTCCACTTCTGAAGCCTAGACACAATGGTCGCCCTCGCCGCCGAGTGACTGCAAAGGACGAGGCCCTTCGACCTCGAGATCACCAGCAGCAGCTTCTCGAGCTGCAGGCACAGAAAGTACACCGCTCGGGGCAGGACACTCTCGACATGCTTCCTACTGCCCGAAGCCTGCGCCGTGATGTCGTCTACTACATTGAACAACTGCACACTAAAGTAAAGCTCCCTGGTGTGGTCCATGGGGTCCATGAGCATCACACGTAAAAGCGTAGTCGCAAACCCACAGCCTGCCAGGATCCCTTGGAACGCCTGCACGGGTTTTCCAACCACTCCACACACATTGATGATTCTCCTCGCACGGTAGAGCGACAACAAAAGGCGCAGCTTCACCAGACTAAACTTATGCTTGACGGCCGCGACGGCCAGCAGATAGTGGCACACCTTCTCGTAGGCCTTTGTGAGGTCCACGAGGCACGAGCCTGAACAGCCACCTACACTAACATGCTGCTCGACCGTCAAGCTCTGCTCCCAAACCGCTCGTTCGCAGCTCTTGCCGTGCACACCGTACAGATAAGCACGATTATTATCACGCTCCCAACGCTTTATCTCGCCCCGCGACAGCTTAGAGAACACACGCGTTGGGGTGGGCAGCAGAGCTATCGGGCGAAAACCTCCTTCGGGCTTCCCCAGCAGGGCAAGGATGGTGGTGAGGAGGATGGTGGGGTAGGTGCCCAAGAGCTCCATCTTAGGCCACAGCGCACCTAAAACCTCCAGTAGGCCATCCGAGGCCTTGTCCAGGTCCCGAGGCCGAAGCGCATCCACTCCAGCCGCCGTCCTTTTCGGAAACTTCCTGATGGCAACCCTGATGTCCCCCACGGACCGCTCCTCCGAACAAAGCTCCTGGACCGAGACCCCCTGCTCGTCAGCCTGGGACTGGATCTGGTGCGTCAGGAACTGGATGGGATCGGGGAAACTCGAGGCCTCTGGGAGGGGCTCCCAGATGTCGCACCAGAACTTGGTAAGCCCATCAACCGTCTCTTGAGGCCCCAGCGGGACCGAGAAACCTCCTGCCTTGACCGTGCTGGACTCAGGGGGAACCCAGCCGATCGGGCCCTGCGAATACTTGTGCGCCTTGCCAGCGCCTGCGGATACAGCCTCCTGCACCCACTCTCGCCAACGCTTGCCACGCTCCGCGGTAAACTTGCGTTCGTACACTTTGGCGAAGCCTTCAGCCTCAACGCCCCAGGCCTGCAACTGCTCGAGGGAGGCGTGAAACATACTTCCAAAAGACGGGACCCACTGCTGCCAGGACTCGCCTTTGCGCAACTGCTTGGGTCCCCACTCGACCGCCTTCAGAAGCCCCATAGACTCGCCCTCACCCCACCTGAGTCCCCGTCTCTTGATGTAAACCAGCTCCGAGAAAAGCTTGGACACACGACGCCACCCACGACTCTCAGGACATCCGACGGGATACCGACCTCCAGACGTCCTGACAGCTGATACTTTCACAATGGTAGGCTCCTCCGCTCTACCAAAATACTGCTTCTGCCCCAAAACTCCGTGATAGGTCCCAAGCTCACGTTCCAGCGACTCGACGAATAACCGATAGCACGCATCCAACGACTCACGATCCCCAACCGATCGAGCAGAGTCCAGGAGCTCCCGATAATCGAGTGGTTCTGGCATGGGTCCTATCACACTGTCCTGCGGGAACGCCCTCGGCTGGCGGAGCGACTGGACCAGCACGCTCAAGGGCTCGCTGCGAAACTTGACCACGACAGGCCAGTGCGGCTTCGTGGACGCCTTCCTACTGATGGCACAAGAATGGACGCTGGCCGCCAGACCTGCAGACATCACAAAATAATCGATAGTCTTCCAGACCTTGGCAGTGGACCTACACGTGTACGTAGCTGGCTTCACAATCTGTCCCCCAAGACGACCAGCCCACCCCAGCTCCTGGAGTCTATCTGGTGAAACGTTCCAGTCACCTCCAAGGACAAATGGTAGGCCCCAAGAATGTAACTGCTCTCCGACTCTACTCAAAATTTGGCTCCCCGTGGGCCCCAATGGGTCCTGGTCGGGCAAGTAGATGGACCCAATGATGAGCCCCCCTGGCACATACGCGTTGACCCACATCAGCTGCTGGCGATGCGGGCTTGGCAAGCGCTTGACGTCCGTCGGCGGCAAGCCCAGCCCGACGAAGTCCCTGCACGCAACCGTAACGCCTCCTGACAGGCCTCCTGCCTCGGTGACCTCCGACGGGTGAACCGACGCCTGCCAGCCTAGCTTCTTCAACTGGGCTTCGCACTCAACACGATCCGACGGGTCAACAGTTAGTTCCTGAAGCATGACGATCTGACTCGATGCTTCCCCCTGGAGAAACTGCTTCGCCGAGGACCAAGCCGTGGTATTACAGGTTTCTAGACAGAAAAACTCTCCCTGGCTAGACCTGGACGATTTATTCCTGCTCTGCCCTGGCTGGGCAGCCCTAATCTTACGAACTACTTGTGGCCCTGTAAGAGGCCTGGCACTAGGGGGAGGGGGAAGAGCTGGGGACGGCAGATCGGGGGGATGGGATGTCGGCGGGGGCGGGGGCCAGACCAGGGACCGAAAGAAAATCCCAGGCGGCCGCGACGGACCCGCCACCGCATTGCCCCACCAGCTGGTGGGGCAAAGCAGGCTGCTACCCACCAGACGTTTTCCCCTGGGCCCCTCCTGCCGCCCCAGGCGCGCCTGGGACGCCTCCAGCTTCCCTTCC